AAGAGGACTCTCGTTCCAGAGAAGAGGTCTTTTGAGTATATGTGGTCCTTCTTTACCCAGACCAGAGCCTCCTAGTTCAAAATGGGAGCCTCCCGATCCTCCTTAACACAACATTGTGCTTCTTGATCTAGCGTATGGCCTATCTTATTCATAAAGGTAGCCTTATGATCCATACAACGGGCCCCTTAACATAGAAAAGGATCGTCTGAGCTAAATATTTCACTCTGTAGCTCAGTCATGCGGACCTCCTTAATCTGAATTTTTGTAATCTGCGGGTCTGTACAATGTTTTTAGTTTGGGAAAATGTGCCTCCCCATTCAGGGGGAAGGGGAGGGGGAATACATACTCTTGCCCCCTGCCAGCAGGTTGGAGGACTGACCTTTCTGCCTGCCCCCTCCCTGCTGCGCCACCCTTGGTTTATGTCAGAGACGATAGGCGGCGCTACACCGACGCCAACAGCGTCGCATCTTCACTGAGCGGAGCAGGCGGTAGCCACAACGACGTAATGTTCACACACACACACCACACAACACACACACACACCACACACACACACACACACACACACACACACACACACACACACCACACACACACACACACACCCCACACACACACCACACACACACACACACACACAACACACACACACACACACACACACACACACACACACACACACACACCACACACACACACACACACACATATATATATATATATATATATATATATATATATATATATATATATATATATATATCAATGGCACGTCTTAAGCGTGTGGTAGTGTTAATACGTGTTTAACAGGTTGCAAAATCTGACTAAGACCCGCTCAATACTGTTTAAACACGAGTGAACGTGACGTCATGGGTGGTGTCACTACCGGTGCCGGGCGGCGTCGCATCCGCGCAGTGAACCCACCGGGAACATGCTGTGCCTGACTGTTGGCCTCAGTTTTACAGTCGACTGAAAACAGGACAAAACCTTAGTTTGCCAAACGTCATTTACCTTCGTGACGATCAAATACGTTGAATCTAAAGAACAGAACAAGATTGATTTGCTGATATATATATAATATATATATATATTATATAATATATATATATATATATGTGTATGTGTGTGTGTGTGTTTAAATATATACACATACATTTGTATATGCGTGTAGGTATATATCTATATATATGCACTAGGTTTATGAGGGAAATTAAAGTTCCCCTAATGCTTTTCGCTCGCTTCTTTTCAACCGTTCGCAACAGCCAACAAAATGTTGTGACATTTCATTAGCGTTAGACACTAGAGTGTGTTATCAGTAGCAAAAAAGGTCCAATATGCGAATCGAAAACTGCCTGATTAATTACCATATGGCGGAAACTTTATGTGCTTTTGGGCATGGACTCGCTGTACGAGCATGTTGTCTAGTATTACTTTAGACTTTCACTTCCCTAAAACAACTCACGTGATGCAAGCAAAGCCATGCATGGTATATTACTCAGAATATATTGTCTGGTGTACACTTAATGCATATAGCAAGTTTTGCAGCCTATACCCACGGGCGTGGAGGGCGGGGAGGGGGGGGGGGGTAGGGTGACCCCATGCGCATCTTGCTCCTTGCCGAGGCCGTGTATTCGATGCAACGGCCCAAACAGCAGCTGCTCACAGCCTGGAAACCCAAAACGCGTGTTGGAGATCACACGATAGCAGAAATACCGTCGCAGCTGGGCTCCACATATTGCTGAAGCTCCGGCTCCACTCCCGGACGTCCTCGGCAGTGTGGCGCTGGTCGCACTCCTATTGTGAACCAGGTAGGGTGAGATGGCCAGCGAAGCCCGCACTTTGCCCCGCACCCCGCAGTCGCTGAGGTCTCGCAGTGGAGAATGCGTGACTGGTCCGTGCCAGGGATCAGTTCGGTGAGCCTCACGGCATCGAACTTTATCGCTGAGGTGGCGAAGACCTGGGCTGAAGAAGACCCTCGGTTTTGCTGCTCACGAGCGGCGCGACGACCGGAACCGCCTGTTCGCATAGCATGCGGCCCTTATCCCACACCATGTCCAGCAACAGTTGTTCCGGACGGACTCAGTACCGGTTACGCTGGAGGACTGGCTGCACCGTGGGCTATGTGGCCGCAGCAGCTCGCGAAGCAGCGTGATGCTCCGGAACAAATTGCGTAAGCCAAAGTCGCAGCTGCTGTTCTGCCGGATGGCGAGCATAGTGGCCGATAGTGGCCGATCACGCGCGGGAAGAGGTCCTTGAGAGCGCTGCTGGAGGTCTCGGTACATATGTGAACTAGGAGCAGGCAAGCGGCCATTTCAACCATCTGAAAACACAAGCGAATATATTGGAACAATTATTTACGAACTGCACGTTAGACAATACAAAAATTATTGCGCCTTTTTAGTGTATTTAATCATTCCGATATCCAGGGTCCTTAAAGGTGGCGAAGTACATATCAAAGCATTTGCTAGTAGCATGAACCAACGAGCAAATGAAGCGACATTCTACGGCACAAAATATGATAATGAGTGCTCAAGAGTGGGCACATGAAATATCCATTGATACTTGATTAAGTTTAAACACTCATTGCTATAAATTCGAAGATAATGCGTTTTGATATTTACCTGGCATGGTTCGATGGTCCGATTCGTCGCTGGGCTGCCACGTTTCGGACAGAGCCGTTTTGAACGCTGGAGGCCCGAAGGTACAGCAGCTGCCAGTTGGTGCTCAGCTGCTGAATCAGGTCGACCGGCAGGTTTGGCACGTGCCCTGGCATAGGCTTGAATGCCACAACATCCCTCTCCCAGAACTACCTGGCGCAGGCCTTGCCGATGGGTCCAGAAAAAAATTCGATCCCGTGTCGTGCCGCCCCAGCTCAGCAGCAGATGAGGAGGTTCAGCTCGTTGCCGTGCATCTGGCAGATGAACCAGTGTGCGGGTGGACTCGTGGCCAGCTCAAACAGCCGGAACACGTCGCCTATCGTCTCGGTATTGACGACCGTGCCATCGCAGCCGAGCACATTGATGTGACCGTCGCACTGCGGGCTCACGGAGTGAAGCTCGTTGAGCAAGTGCAGGGCTCGGCCGAACTCGCACGTAAAATGAGTTGCGTAGCGGCTGCCTGGCTCAGCGATGACAACCACGTGTTTTTCGACGTCATTCACTTGGCTCTGTGTGACCCATGTAGCTCCTGCTTTCGCGGCCTTCGGAGTAGAGGATGCCAAACCTGACCCGTGGATTGCTTCAGCATTTTGACGAGCCATCTCCTTTCTCGCTCCGCCTCTTGCGCATCAGATATTCTTAGGATCTACGATATTTGGTTTTAAGTGGCCAGTCCGTCCGTCTTAGCGGCCCAACGGTGACGTAGCCAGGATGTCTCCCTGGAGGGGGGGGGGGGGGGACGGAACCAAAGGGGCACTTGCACCCAATGAGGGCCACATTATTTAAAAAAGTTCAATGCACTGTAGAAAGACAAATGTAGAATGTGAGATATACCCCATATTTTGTTGTGCAGTGAAGCGTTGCAGTCCTAAACGCACCACGAACATGATGCTCATCACGTACATGTCATGAACTAATCTGGATACCGGCCGGAATCGCCATTGTCTTGGTGGCTGTGGATATCGGAAGAGCTTGCAGGATCTGAGTTGAGCTCTGGGGCCGGGCCCTACCAATACCTCTGAGTCTAAGCAGGCGTCAACCAGGGGTGGCCCCGAAGACTTTGTCTAACAGGGGGAAAGTTTTCCGGGTGTCTTTCAGCAAAGGGGTCTCGTAATAAACGCCATAAAATTTACACATCTCCCGGGATTGTGGCCACTTTGTTTTGGCACTCAGGAAAAATTACTTGTCGACAATTTGGCAAACTTCGGAACGATTAACTCAAATGTGTCGGTTATAGGGCCCGTAGATAATTATGCGTGGGCGAGGGGGAAGAGCAAGGATAGGTGGCTAATGTATATATATATATATATATATATATATATATATATATATATATATATGTAAAGAAATGCATTTATCTTGTTGATACAGTTACATCTATTTGCCAACTGTCAGTTCGCATTTGTTACCACTTACCACAGCTATAATATATGAACAAGCTGTTGTGACCTCTGCGTTGGATATAGTAGTGGATCTAGGACGGGTTCAGCAAGCATGTTGGGTGGGGCAAAAATGCAAAACAAAAAAAACGCAAACACCAATACAAAACCCTGGATTTCGTTCCCTCGTGCCATTATTATTGCCTTCTGATGCATTTGCTCAAATAAAAGTTGGATGCACAGATTATCTCTAAAAAGCAATGTACGCAGATTTTTTCTGATGTTTCACACTTTGTGTGAGGTCATAGCCGCATCTACTCCTGCGCTCCCTCTCCCCCAACGTTGCCATTTGCGGATCCAGGTTTTGTTCAAGGAGAGGATATGGACCAAGAGAGGAAGAGTGTCCCTAATACCTCGGTGGGATTTCCGGAGATCAGAATGGGTCCTCTAGCTAGAGACCTGAGGTAAGGAGGGTCCCTGTTTTCGAGATCCAAGGAGGGGGCCATAGCCTTGTCACCCCTTTATCTGGACCTTTGACTGTCTCAGTTCTCGGGAACCCCTTAAATCTATGTTAACCAGGCTGTATACAGGCCGGCAGAAGGCAACGCTGGTAAACGCCGCCCTCCTCAACCATCATGGGCCGTCTAAAGCTACTAAAGGCCCTATGCAGTTCGACGAGGCCCTGAATGTTGTAAGAGGATTTACAGATCGCTGGGGTCTTTTAAATGTTGATAGATGCCCTCTTCAGGTCAGCAGATCCTACACAAATGCCGGCCGAGGCACACAGCAGATAGGGTCCTCTATAAGTCAGGGGCCAGAGGGGTCCATCGGCATTCAGGAAGGGGGATGGTTCCTTTGACCCCCCCCCCATCCCCGCACTCCCTTGGCCGTGCCTATGCTGTTCCATGCCCCACAGCGTTCACTACAGGTCACCTCTCCTTCTCGGGGCTCTCGAATGGCTTATGTCAGCTATTGAGTCATCATAACGCTCAGTAAGTCACGTTGGCTAGCATATTATACAGCTGAAGCTGTTGCCGCACCAGGGGCTTTGAGCGTGGCACGTCCATGTGCCAATGCTTTCCAGGACAGTCGGTATCGTGGCCAGTAATTCTCTTGAATAATAACATGCCGAGTTTGTAAACCCGTGTAAACTGAGTTTACACAGGCCATGTTGTCATTCCCGTGATCATTGTCAGGCGCTTACATTCGACCATGACTGAATCCACGGGCAGAAGTTACGTTAAGTGAGCACCGAGCAAGGTGAGAACACCTGTCTCAGCTCATGCTGTCGCATATCAATCCACCAGGCCGTGCCAGCCGCATTGAAAGCCATTCCGTCTCCGGCAGGCCCGGCCTGGTCAATGCCATGATCTAGGCTTGTGTGGGCCGATTTTGGTAGCGGCAAACTGTTGCCCGAGCAGTTGCATGTCTTCGCTGGATTTGAGTCTCGCTGCGTCCTGCTCCGCAGAGGAGCAGTTGTTCTTGCCCAAGGGGGATCGCACTCCCTTCGCTTCGGGCGTGCGGGGCGTGGCCGGCGCGGCGCCTGCCTGCCGCTCCAGCGCCGCCGTCAGCACGCACTCGAACCGGCCGTGACACCGGCCGCACACCTTGCGCTGCGTGTCCAGCGACTTGGAGTGCCGACCGAAGCTGTAGCCGCACCGCGTACATCGGTACGTGTACTTGCAGTGGACCTCATAGCTGTGGCAGCGCGAGACGGGCGGCAGCTCGGGGAAGCGGCGCTGCACGCGGCCGGCCCAGCCGCGCCACACGGGCCCGTGGCCGCCGCGGTCGCCCGACACAACCCAGGCGACGGCGTGGCACAGCTCGTGCACCAGCGTGTCGCGCAGCCGCTCAGCACTGTCTACCACCTTCTCAGAGAGCTCGATGCGCGCCGTACGCACCGTCGCATCTCCGCAGGCGGTCTGCTTGCAGTAGCAGAAGCCGGCGCTGCGAAGCATCCGGTTGTTGAACTTGATTTCGAAGTCGTCGGGTAGCTGTAACGAAGTGCGGCGACAGTGTTATTTACTTCACGATTGCACACATAAAGAACACAACGTTGTGCTCAACACTCACGGAAACATACGTGTTCGTGCATACATGTGCGCATTACTCTGTTAACTACATGCGACAATCAAAACACAAATGCGTGACCAAAGGACCAGGAAATTTTCATCCTAGCTTGCACCACGCCAGCGCTATCCAAGCTTACGTTCAAGAAGCGCGAAGTAGATAAAATGGTACGAAGCAACGGAAGCACAAGGTGATTTACAACCGAGTCGTAGCATTCCACCTGTGAGCCGAAGACTTCCGTGTTGATCAGACAAAACAAGCGTTTCGCCAGATTTATCTTCTTCCGCCCGAATTCATGCACGAAGCCTTCCGCCTCGGCGTCACGCCGCTGGTCCTTCGGCAGGTCCGCGGCTAGTGACGTCATAAAGTTGAGGGTGTCAGACTGCACGCGACCCGCGTGCTTCTGGCCGGGCTTGTCCGACGCGATCGTCTGGGGAGATGTGATAGGCGACATGAGACGCCTGGCTCAGAAGGACACGCAGAATTTTGCAACAGTGGTAGCGACTCAAATTCTTACCGAAAAAACATTTTAGCGTGCCGTGGAAGCGTGATGTCTCTTGCGTGACATCGACTACGGCGATCGACATGCGGCGATATCTTGCATGATTCGTCAGCTTGTTCAAGATAAGCGGTGGCACACGCTCCCAGGCAAATTTAGATGCGAGGAGCTGACACGACCGGTTCACGGCTTTGTGCTGTGGTAGCAGCTGGATGACTGACCTTCCCTTTGCACGCTTTTGCGCATGACAAAACTGTTCTAAAGCCGAAGTCGTGCAAAAGATAACCACAACTGAGCAGTACTGGTCGCACGGCTTGATGTAAACACGTGCAGACTTACGCTCACCTGGACCCTAGATTTCACGAATCGCTCATCGTCTCCGCTTTTCTTCACGTCAGTCGTCCCTTTCACCTGGAGTGCCCCTTTTGCTGGCGGGCGGCAGCGACGGTGACCGCCTTCACCTGCTGGTGGCGATGCGCCAGCACTCGCCTCACCACGGTCGTCACCACTAAGTTCGTCCCCGACTGATGCCCGGCACCCTTCATCACTGGACTCGCTGCCCTCTGACCAGCAGTCACTCTCGTCCGAGTCCAGGTACGGCTCCGGCACGTAGTCGGGGTCCGCCAGCCGGTCGTCCTCCTCGCTGCTGGACCCGTCTGTCGTGCCGTAGATGGAGACATCCGTCTGCTTGCGCTCCCTCAGCCAGTAGCCGTGCCGCTGTCGCTCGCTCATCGGTCGAAAGACTGCTGGCGGTCGAGGCGGCGCAATGCGCGCCCGAAGGCGACCTGCGCGTGCAGTATGACGTCACTGGGGACACAACACAGCACCGGCGAACCCCGTCGTTGTCGCCACACAGAAGGATGGGCGATGGAGATGGAGACGGGAGATGATAATCAACCGTCGACACGGGAATAGGCGATTGCCAGGCCTTCGGCAGGCTGTCCTCCGATGCTACATGAAAACTGTCCACAGATGGAAACACAAACATGGCTGTGTTTGCAACAGACAGGGGACATTCTCGATAACCCTGCCTTTTTATTGGTCCCGTTAACTTTGGAGTATAATTCTCTCGGTCAGCAATGATCGTTTCAGGACTTTGGGATAGAAGAGAGAGGATAACGGCTGGGTAAAACTACACGTACCTGGAAGCACATCCCCAAGACATTGCCCGCGCAGTGAGAATGTGATAAGAAGGGCGACTGGAATCGCTGGTTAGATCACGCTGCTGAGCTCGTCAAGCAAGGGGACACTCAAGCACGACACCTTCGTGTCCGCTTACCTCCTCACCGGCGCCGGGGTTTGTCCGAGCCTGCGCCGACCGCTCTGCACTGGCTGAGCCTGTGACCCGACGGCTAAGACAGCTCTAGCCCGCACCATTCTGCACGAACGCGTCCGCTGATTCACACCGCGACATCTTATCGCGTGTGCTTCATGGGCGCGCCGCTAGGCGGCGCTTTGCTCCAGCCTCGCGGTAAATGAAGGTTGATGTTCGTTGCTGTGTTCGTGACGCGTCAGCCCGTTTCCCTCAGTTGAGACCCGACGCGTGTAGGAAGAGCGGCCGTGGAGTCATTGGGGAAGGGGTGGGGGAGGGCTTCGCGAGGCATTGTGCGGTGGTGACGTTCAGTCTCACGTGAGCCATGGTGTCGATGGCCGCCTGTACGGTGGTGTCGTCCAGTCTCACGTGAGCCACGTTGTCGATGGCCGCCTGTACGGCGGTGATGTTCAGTCTCACGCCCACATGCGAACCCCCGAGCCGGGCTGGGCGGCTTTCAAAGCTCGAAGTAGGTTTTATGTGATTGACTTCTCGAATATGTTGTGAACAAACCGAATGTGGGAAAACTTCCCCAAACGACAAGCTCCCTTCCAATTAGCCGCCACGACGCCCACCACCTGCCAGGCCCCGTCGTCCCGGCCTGACACACCAGCTCGCCGCCCGAGTCGCCCTGGAACGTGTCAACGCCCGCCTTCCAGGAAGCCGGCACATATCATCTTGTCCGGCACGAACACGTCGCCGTACACGTCTGCCCTGGCGCACACGCGGTCATCAATGACGGGCACTAGGATAGAGAGAGAGAGAGAGAGAGATATAGGAGAGAGAGAGAGAGACGAGAGAGAGAGAGAGAGAGAGAGATGAGAGAGAGAGAGGAGAGAGAGAGAGAGAGAGAGAGAGAGAGAGAGAGAGGAGGAAGGTGACCGCCGGATGTGGCCGAGAGTTGAGCTTGTCCAGGAGGGCGACTGCAGTAAAAATGACGAAGCGAACCAGGGTCGGCGTATGGACGACCCCTGCGGGTTGCCAGCTAAACCTTAAAAAAGGGGATGAAGGAGTGGCTTCCTTTCTATTTGAGCCCAAACTGAGTTATCCACACGTTACGAAAAGCAATCGATAGCCATCGGCCTAAGAAACACAATGGTGTCCACTTGGAGAATTTCAGGTCAAACTGTAGCATCTCAAGTAAGACCAATTTTCAGTTATGTTTGGGAATGACGATAGTCTTGGATAAGAACGACGTTTTGGAACTAAGTAGGCACGAGTCCAAATTTAAGGCTTTATCATGAGCAGTGCTGACATGTGAGATGGGAGCTCTTGTGAGTTTAGCAACGCTATGATAGATGACTGACGTTGTTTGAAAAGTGACATTGAAAAAACTAGTGACTAAATCTTGGATTGACTGCGAGCTGTGGTGCGTTCATGACATTCCCCCCCACAGCGTGAGGACATACAATTCATAATGGTACGCTGCGCATATTGCGTCGTTGTGTGAGGGTGATTTTGTACAGAATATTACAGATATTTGAGATTTGAGAAATTTTGAAGTATCATAGTGTCAACTGATCATTGATTTGCCAGCAGGTAGCCGATGGTCAGTAGACCAAGCTCAGCGGTGGCTACGGCTTGGACCACGAGACCCTTGGAGTCGCCTTGCTCTTGCCTCTGTTGGCGGTGGCGAGCCTTGCAGTGCGCGGGAGGACAGCGTGAGGAGCGTCCAGGCCCTGCGTCAAGCTGGGCTGGTGAGGAGACGACTGATCAAGAAAGTTTTCTCTTCAAGGGGAGCAGGATGAATAATATTTCTGGCAGCGACGGTGGTAGTGCCTTCGAAGAAAAATCCAGCATGTCTTTAGACATAGGATGGAATGTGCTTTTAAAATCTGCGCAGTTGTGACATGATATGATGACAGCCAATTGTTTCGGACACCACCAAAAATTGCGTATGTATGAATGTATAATTTCGGTAGATGTGGTGCATGTAGTGTGAATACACACCGATTTAAATTCCATAGAACTCAACAAGTCGGTATACACTTACTGGTGCCACTCCAAGCTGCATAGGCCTCGCTGTGCCACAGCGCTGCTCTCCAAAGTGGGTTGTTTGGACGATATCTTACAGAACAAAACTGGAATGCCACTTGGATGCAGCTCCATTTCTGGCTGCTCACAACCTAGTGACAATAGCTTGCTGTAGGGTCAGCTGCATGTTGTATTTGATATTTGATGCTTGACATCAGCTTGATCTGCCCCAAATGAAGCAGCGATGCGCCCTTTTGGGACGGCGTTCAGGTGCGTCCACGCCCGACCAGTGTTGTCCGTGACACTTTCGTGGCGTTCAGACCGGCCAAGGTGCTGCCCGCACGCACCTCAGTCCTGGAGTGGTCCGCATTTGTCTGCACACGGTAAAGGACGGGCGGACCAGTGGATGTTCCCTGAAAATGTTCGCTTCCAATCCGAGTTTAGAAACCTAAGTCAAACTCCCTAAAAACGTCGCTTCCATGACCTTGAAATCGGGATGTGGTGGAAAATTCCGAGGGGCGTTGAGGGAGGACTAATTCAGGGGTAGGGGCGGACACTAGGAAGTACATACAGTGGCGCCCCTGAGAAGATTGTTATGCCTTTCGGCTATTTTCTCTCGAAACCGATGCCTTTATGCCCAGCAGCGCGGTAGTCGCTCACACTTGCTTTGGTGAAAAAGAACGTTCTTAATAAGCAATAACATACTCTGTACATATGCTTTGGGGCATTTATGTAGTTCGTCCTAACCACTTGTGGATAAATTATGGTCATATATATACATACATATATATATATATATATATATATATATATATATATATATATATATATATATATATTGGGCGTGGTTATATATTGCTGCTTGTCTACTTATTGTGCTATTCCTCACATTTTCTACGTTTTATCTAGCTACCGAACACGCCCATCGCGCACACCGAGGCCAGTTGCCTGCTGCTCTTCCCAAAGTTATCCAACCATGCTGTGCAGTACTGCAGTTGACGCAGGTAATGCCTCCTCTTTGCAACAGGTTCCCCTACGTGAGCGGTAGCGACAGAACCGGTTTTGCGCCGCGTTTGCAATGCGCCAGCACAGGAAAGCCCCGGGATATACGATGCGCCACTTCGGTCCAGGTGCACACATTTACAGGCCAATTCGGCTGCCCAGTGTGCCTCATTGATTATGATGTCCTAGTGTCATAGCGACAAATAAGGACAAACCGCAGTGGTATCCTATCTCACCTTGCACTACTCTCCGCTTCACGGTCACGACTCGTAGCTGATTTGTCAGAACGAAACTTTGCAAAGCACAAGCACGGACCGCATCACCCACCAATCTATCCGTGCCAGCGTGAGATTGACGGTAAGCGAATCGTGTATGGCATAAACATAACGAATTTGCAGCTACTGTTGACCTGTTTCCCATAAATATCCTTTCAGGGTGAGGTTTAGATTCGAAATAACCCAAACTTGTGTAATGAGAGACTGGCCTCATACTGCTTCTTTCCTTGAATACTTTTCCTTGGCTTCAGACTTCCGACTGGCTCCTTTCCAGCTGCTTCTCATGCGCGCTCTCCTGCATTGGAGGACCTCCGACGAGCGTCGTGGTGGGGGGCCGTTGATGGGAGGAGCAGGGACGCCAGCGCCGCCTTCTGACATAGCCGCCGCACCATAACACGCGGGGCACGGCGCTGGGGTTCGCTTCTTACCGACGCTTACCAGCCAGGGGGCTCTGTGTGGCTCCCTGCCAGCTGATCGCTGGCTGCTGGGTGGCGAGTGGCTCCTTACTAGCTACACGCTGGCTGCTGGGTGGCGAGTGACTCCTTTCCAGCAAAACGCTGCCTGCTGGGCGGCGAGTGGCTCCTTTCCAGCTGAAGGCTGGCTGCTAGGTGGCGGGTGGCTCCTTTCCAGCTGAACGCTGGCTGCTGGGTGGCGAGTGGGTCCTTTCCAGCTGAACGCTGGCTGCTGGGCGGCGAGCGGCTCCTTTCCGGCTGAACGCTGGCTGCTGGGTGGCGAGTGACTCCTTTCCAGCTGAACGCTGGCTGCTGGGTGGCGACTGGCGCCTTTCCAGCTGAATGCTGGCTGCTGGGTGGCGAGTGGCTCCTTACTAGCTACACGCTGGCTGCTGGGTGGCGAGTGGCTCCTTTCCAGCTGAACGCTGGCTGCTGGGCGGCGAGTGACTCCTTTCCAGCTGAACGCTGGCTGCTGGGCGGCGAGTGGCTCCTTACTAGCTACACGCTGGCTGCTGGGTGGCGACCGGCTCCTTTCCAGCTGAATGCTGGCTGCTGGGCGGCGAGTGGCTCCTTACTAGCTGAATGCTGGCTGCTGGGTGGCGAGCGGCTCCTTACTAACGTTGGCTGGTGGGCGGCGAGCGCTGTGACGGGCCCAAGGGCACCTCTGTTAAGATGTTCATACCGGTAAGCATTCGTCGTCAGAAGGGAAGGGTGGGGTCCAGGGTCACCTTGGTTGTGAAGAAGCTGGGCGGTTTTACGTTTCCGCGGGAGGACATTGATGTGCGCTACGTTCATGCTTTGACTGATGTTGGATTGCTATAAATCACAGACACTCAGCCCAAGGTATTTGCTTTAGCAGCCCAAACAGAGGCAGTGTGAGATACCGATTGATGGCTCGCTTTAAACCAGTGTGCGCCGCAGACACTGCAAGGACTACCACCGCGTTCGTGAGGGGCATCACCAGTGTTGCTGCCGCGCAGCCCGGATGATGGACCGCGCACTGGTGGTGGTGGCGCTGATCTTGAGTGTCAACAACGCCCGTAAGTACCCTAAAGGAGCGAGACCCCCCCGGCTAGTGGCTGGGTCTGGCTGGACGCGCCTGCCGTGACCATGACCATCTCATCTGCGTACTGTGAGACGGACTAGGCTGGCGGAGAAAGCCGAGTAAAGGTCCTGAAGGACGGAAACCTTTCAAAAATCAGAACAAAAGGATTTGGCGAACCAGTACGCCTAAGTGGTAGTAAACGCTAAGTGATATATGGTCATTCTATTCCATGCGCCGTTAGAGATGGCATGCTGCTGTATTCACCATTGGAAACACCCAACAGTCTTTGACATCTAAAACA